AAAACTAAGAAAATATGAATGAAGTTTAGTTCATAATAATATATCAGTATCAGTTCGTTAATTGTAGCAAATATACTACATACAGATGTAAGATATTAATAGTAGGGGAAATAGGAACTTTCTATATTATATCTGCAACTTTCCTGTTTTCTGTTTTAAAATTCAAAGTGTTGTTTTTTTTTTTTAATTAACAGTAGCAACAAGAAAGAATTTTGAGAAGGCAACAGCAGAGAAAATGAGTAAATTGTCCCAGTCAGAGCCAGGATTTAAACCTGGATCTGCCTGACCCCAAGGCTTTTGTGACTAACTGCTTCTGTTGCCTGAACCCCAGGGAGAAGTCCCTCCCTTGGGGACAAGAGAAAAGATGTGGGTGGGGTGGGGAGTAGGAGGGGGGCTGTCACAGTATTTCGCTGAGGTTAAGAGCCCAAGCTTGACGGTCACGTAGTGTTATGATTCCATTTATATGAAATTCCCAGAATAGGCAAATGCACAGAAACAGGAAAGTAGATTCATGGTTGCCAGGGGCTGGCAGAGGAAAGAAAGAATGTACAGGGGAAGCGGGGGGCGGGGGGGAAGGACTGTTTCATGGTGTGGGATTTCTTTCTGGGACGATGGAGATGCTGCTCTTAAATTAGATAGTGAGGACCGCATAACATCACAAATATACTAGAAAACACCGAATCATATGCTTTTATTTACTTATTTGTTTAATTTTTAGTAATCTCGATGCCCATTGTGGGGCTTGAACTCACGACCCCAAGGTCGAGAGTTGCTTGCTCCGCTGGGCTGAGCCAGCCAGGCACCCTGAATCGTGCACTCTGAGATGGTTAAGTTTTATGTTCGGTGAATTGACTCTCGATGGAAAAAGAAGAGTACAGACTTGAGATCCAGTCTGTCTGGATTTGCATCTCCCTGCACCGTTGACTAGCTGTATGTGACCCTGGCCAAACCACCTCTCTGTGCCTCAGTTTTTCTATCTGGCAAACAGGGGTTGTAATAACAGTACCTATCTCAGAAGGTCATTGTCAGCATATAAAGGACTGGGGACAGCACCTGGCACATAGAAAGCACCCCACATTGGCTATAACAATAATGTGGTAGAGCTTCAAGGGGCTTCAACCCTACGCGTCTCCCTCCCCAGGATCCAAGTGTTTGGGGTCCGCAATGGACTGGATGGTCAGGGGAGGGAGTGTGAGCTTATTCTCAAACCTTCCCTCCCAAGATCCTCCAAACGGTGTCATCTGAGAAACCCCGTCCACAAACAAGCTGGGGGTCCACTCCCCGGGAGGCCCCCCGCGGTGTGGAGGAGGTTGCTCCTCGCTGGCAGACCCACTGCCTTAGGATGGAGGTCGCCTCAGCGGCCGGGGAGGTGTGGAGCTGCAGCGCGCCGCCTAGTGGCACCTGCGAGACACGGGTCCCGGCTGCCGAGGGAGGTGCCAACCCAGAAGCGGCCCGCCCCGCCGGCCGGGAACCTCCTAGCTGCTTTTACATCAGCATTGTTATTAAAGAAGCAGCCTGTATTCAACCAGATAAGGGGCCTTCTGTATATTCTTTTCAATTCGAGGAGGTAGTTAGTGTTTCCAGTTCAGAGTTGAGGAAACCGAGGCTAGGAAGGGCTCAGCAGCCAGCCCTTCTCCCAGCCCCTAAGCGCTGTCCCTGACCCATCAAATGAACATTAGCTCAACTCCAGATTCCAGAACTCTTGTCTTCCTCACGTGGCTTCTGGTTTGGGAGAAACGAGGATAGCCCGTGGAAGCATCTGCAGCCACCACTAAGGGTCAGAACTGGCTCTGGGATTGTTTCCAAGCAGCTAAGCTGTAGGAAGGCAGCCCCACCACCTTGCCCCAGACCCCAGGCCCCCAGGAAATGGAGGGGGAGGCGGGAGGCTCCTTCTAGGGCCCCTTTGACAAGGTTATGGGCCCTCTGCTCATTAACCCCTCTTTTTCCAGCCTCGTTGATCTTTCCACTCAACCAGTACTGATCATAGGCCTCCTGTGTGTACGATGCTGTCTTCCAAGCAGGATATGTAATAGTAAATGGGAAAGGAGGGACCCTGCCTCCCAGCAGCTCACCACCTCCTCCACCTTCTTAACTCAAAGCAGGACACCTTTGCTGTGAGTCTGGTGGCACTGGTTTTGGGAACACCTTGATAATTCTTAATCCAGTTATTTCAATGAGTCATCCCAGTTCTTCACCCATCCCAGGAATAGGTGCGGGCTCAGGGTATTATGACTTCCCCCAGAGTCCTTTCCCTGGCCCTGACTGAGGACCAGCACTCACACTGTTACAGCATGGTGGCGGGGGGGGGGGGGGTGGAATTACAGAGGGAACCCAATGTGGTAAGTTCCTCACCCTGAGGCTGGAGCCCTGGAGGGAAAACAGAGCCCAGGATGCTCCCCCCACACCCCTATTGGCATATTTTAATAGTTGAAAGAGTTTGTAGGCTTGGGAGGAAAGTGGGACAGACACCTGCAGGAGAGGGGGAAATAAAGAACCACTCTTCTATGGCTTGTCCTCCCATCCCCCCTTCCCTGCTGCCAGGAATTAAACAAAGTCATGAAACCTGACATTGGACTAGAAGGGCCTACCTGGTACAACAACTTCCTGAGCAGCAAGTCCAGCGGACTGTCATTTTTGGAAAAATCTCCAATTCCCACTGGCCTCTGATGAAGGCAGGGGTGGGGGGAGGGGGAGCACCTGCCCCAGTCCTGAGGTTCCCCACAGGCATGCCATGTTTCTGCTGAGGTCCCTGCTGAGTCGTTCAGCATAGTGTCCTTGACCATGAGTCTGTGTCTGTCCGGGGTTGGCAGTCAGCTGTGGGTCTTGGTACCTGTGTCCCTGTATGTGTTTCCTTGGGGAAGTTAGGTATCTAAATATCAATTTGTCATCTTCTAAAGAGTGTATTTGCATTTGCACAGGTGTATGGTGTTGTATGTGTTTGTGTCTGTGACACGGGTTATGTGTGTGCTTTTTTTTTTTTTTCTGGTCTCTTGTCTCAGGTATATGTTTTCTCTGCAGCTGGAGACCTATTTGTAAGGGTTTCTAGGAGGGCCATTTTGCACCAGTGGGTCTGTGCTGCCTGTTTACTTGTGCGTGCTTTTGTAGGTGTCTATCGGTGAGGCGTGCTTGTGACTGTGTCTAGGGGTTTGTGTATGTATGTATGCTTGTAGTTGTGTGGCTGCGTGGGGTTGGCTTGGTGTGATGAGCTGTTGACTCTTATTCACTGCCCTTGCTGGGGCTCTCCTGGACCAAGCTAAAAATAACCCAACTACCTTTGTCCATAGGGACCTTTCTCAGTTGGCCAAAGTTCTTTGCAGGGAGTCCTGCTCCACCCACATCCAGCCTCCTGATCTGGGAATACCCAGCGGGGGCGGGGGGGGGGGGGGGGGGGGGGGGGGGAGGTGGCTGACGACAGGCACCTGGGGCCCAGATGCTCCAGACCCCAATCAGTGCAGGAGTGTGTGGGGCAGAGGATATTGGGTGGTACTTACTGCTTCTCTGTCCCCACCAGGTCCCCTTCCAGCCTGCAGGGTCTGGTCCACAAGTCCTTCTCCTCTAATCTAGGAAGCATCCCTGGGGACACTCCACCCTATTCCAGCCCATCTCCACGGGCCTGGCTGGAACAACCTCTGACTGCTTTCACCCCCACTGCACCTGTATTTGAGGATCGATTCTAGATCTCAGCTCCAGAAAAATCCGAAGTAGAGAACAGATCAGAGCAATGGGAAAGAGGCATAACCTGCCAGCTGCCAAGTCCAGTCCCAGAGGAGGGCTGGGGGGGATGTGCCCCAGCTCAGAGACTTTCTTTCCAGTGCCATCTCCCCTTCCCCCTTCAATCACTAGTTCTTGCAAAGCCGGGTTATCTTGAGCAAATGACTTTACATCTCTGTGCTTTCATTCCATCATCTATAATATGGGGATACAATTGGTGTAACTCAGAGTTGTTGTGAGGACTAACTCAGATAATGCGTACAAAGTACTTAACCCCTTTCCTGGGGCACAGGGCTTTGCCAGTATAGTAGGCTGACCCCTCCTAACACCTCTGTGTTTCAATCTCAAGACATTACTGTCCCTCAGACTTTCCGGATGTCTTTTGGCCCACCCTTGGGTGGCCGGGACTTTACCCCCCAAATCAGACCGGCAGAGAGGCGAGATCTTGGAAAGAGACATTACTGACGTTTATGCAGTTTCCATACATACTTTTTTCATTCAACTCTACACCCCCTTATGAGATAATTATAATTTTTCTCTATTTTAGACGATGATGAAGAGAGCGTCAGAATGGTTAAGTAACTTGCTCAAGGTCACACAGAAGGTGAGGAGCAGAGCCCAATGGCTGTACCTCTCCCCTCTGACCCCCTGTCCCTTGGAGGGCACGTTTTTAACACTAGTACTGAAAGTGTTACAGGAGGTTTAGAGGGGTCTGGAAAACAGTTCTGCCTAAAGTCATACAGACAAGTAGAGCCACCCAGAACGATCCCAATCTGTGCCCACCTTCACATAGCTGTAAGCCCCAGCCTAAATGGACTTGAGTGTTTGAGGTTTTTCCCATTTAGGGAGTCTTTTTTGGAAACACCTCCACAGGTTGAAGGCATAGGACGCAGTACAGACCAAGGGAGCCAAAAGTGAGGGTCCACAACTTAATCGGATGAGAAAGCTGACACCGCCAAGCCAAAGGAGAGCGTAGATATATTTCCTTAATTTTTGGAAAAGAAAACTGGGCAGACTCCGCTTCCAGCTTTGTTCCAGTGGCCGGGTTTTCCAACACGCCTGGCCCAGCGTCTGGCGAAGACCCCCCCTGAAAGGCCCCCCCAACCCGCTCAAGCAGAGGCGGCGCCCAGGTGGCCGTCGGTTCCCCCCCTCCGGGGGCCCCCTGCCGGCCCCGCCCCCGCCCGCCCAGGCCCCGCCCCGGCAGCGCGCCGTCCCCATCCGTTCGCGGACTGACTAGGGCGAGCGAGCGGCTGCGCTCGGCATTGTGGCAGGCGGCGGGGCCCGGAGAGGGCTCCTGAGCCCCAGGCAGCGACCGGGCGCAGAGAGGCGCGCGCCGGGGTTGTGACGGCGCGGTGCCGGCCGCTGCGAGGGCCGCTGAGTGCACTAACCTTCCGTCGCGAAACTTCGAAGCCAGGGCGCGGGAGCCCGGGAAGCGCTCGGAGCCCCAGAACCTGAGGAGCGCAGAGAGGGGCGCGCGGGAGCTGGCTGGAGGGCGGGCTCTGGGCACCCACTGCGCTCCTAGCGCCGGGCAGCCCTCTGCGCAGCGTTGGCTGCCGCTGCCCCCACGGAGGGCACGGGCTGGCGCGGCCGGGCGCCGGGGAGGACGGCGAGGAGAAGGCGGCGGCGGCGGAGACGGCGGCGGCGAGGCTGGGGCCAGGGAGAGAGCCCCGGGGGAGAGGCGCCCGAGCCTGGCCGCGGGAGCATGTGGGCCCGGAGTGGAGCGCGAGGTGCGCTGCTGCTGGCGCTGCTGCTCTGCTGGGACCCGAGGCTGAGCCAAGCAGGTAGAGAATGATCGGGCATGGGGGCGGGGGGTTAGGGGACCTTTGCGCCCCAATCTTTCCCGAAGTTGAAGTGGTCCATCACCGCGTCGGTGTGTACTTGGAGAGCGCAAGGGCACCCAAGTTAAAAGGTAGATTTCTCCGCCCCACCAAAGTGGGAGATGGCGCAGCCACCTCGCGGGGTGGCGGGGGGGTGGGGAGGGCGCAGGCCAGGTGGTTCAGAGTAAGCTTCTTGCTCCGCCCCTGCCCCTGCCCCTGCCCCTCTCCTAGAAGGGATCGCTTCTTTTCCTTGGAACGGGTGTCCGAGTCTGGGTCTGCTCCTCCCGGAGGACTGGCTCCAGGGACCCCGGGCTCCACGCGCACCGCGGCAGCAAAAAAAAAAAAAAAAAAAAATAGAAAAGACTATTGCTGCTCGGACCAGGTGTGCGCTTGCTTGCTTTTCGCCGGCAACTTCCTAGTCCTGGTTCCCGGCTCTTCCAAGCTCCTACGCGCTGCACCCCCCCGGAATCCGCAGACGGGAAGGAGCAAGAGACCTGCGGAGCAGGGGAAGCGCGGGTCCGCTCCGCTAGCCAGGGGAGGCCGGCTTGAAGGGCTTTGGCTATAGAAGGGGGAAGGGCTGAATACTGCTCATACAGCTTTCCCCGCGACCGCAGGATCCGCAGGTCTAGAAGGATTTTTTCTGGGGTTTGGTGTGTGTGTGTGTGTGTGTGTTGGGTCGGGGGGAGTACATAGTGATCCTGCCAAGTTTCCTTTTAAATGGGTCACTGACATTCTCCCCCGTCTGGGGAGTGGACAAGCGGACAAGATGCGCTTGCCTACTGTGGGCCTGCAAAATGCCTTAAGGGGATTGGTGGCCTCCTAAAATAAAGTCCCCATCACCACCACCACCACCACCACCACCTCGCCCTGGTTGTGTACACCTCTCTCTTGTCTGTTGCTGGGCCCCGCGTCGCTGACTGGACTGCGTTTCTAGGCGAGCCAGCATCTCTTTGGTACCGGAACCCAAGTAGGTGGGCTGGCTGCGGCCGCTGGACACCTGAGCTCCCTGGACGGGGCAAGGTGGGGTGCGGAGGGGGGCGTCCTGCACGGAGTCCTCTGAGTTGAGGCTGAGAATGGGGCAGGAAAGCTGGCGCAGAAAGTAGACGAGGTGACGCAGCCCTCCCCCGCCACCTTCCGCTGGGATGTTGGCATCAGCCCCCGCCCCACCCCCCACCCCCACGTACACCCCAATAGCCCAAGATTCCTCATTCTGGAATTAATGATTCCCACGGCCTAGGAGCGAGGGCTTGGTTTTCGCACAGCCTCCACTTTTTTTTTTTTCCAGCCCTCTGTTGTAAAGTTACGACACAATCATTTGATCCAAGTTAATTACGATTTGGGCAGACTCTGGTATTTAAAGCAGCGTTTTGAAGTTGGAAGGTAATGATGGGGGAGGGGGCAAGCTGCTGAATGACCAACCTCATTTTAAAGAGTGCAGTTGAATGTGGGAGTTGCTGGGCTGGGGTGTTGGTTTCTGGTTTGAGGGTGTTTGGGGGGGTGATTGAAGAGTAGGGTGAAGTCTCTGTAAAGGGCACTTGGGCAACTGTTTTAGAACCAGCCTGGCAATGGGATCAGGAATAAATACTGAGGTTACTGAGTGTAGGGGGTGGGCCTCTGCTGGGCAGGAAAAAGACAAGACTAGTTGGCCTAGAGTTCTCCCAGAGCTGGGTTTAGCTGGGGAGTGGCCTGCCTTTCCTGCTTAACAAAGCACCCAGCCCCCACCTTCCCCAGAGGAAACCCCAGGCCCATGGCTTTGATGGATTTGGGCACAAACGGAGCCCAGCCAGAAATGGCCTCTAATACCGGGCTTTGATTTCTCACTAGTGAGCAGAACCAGTGTTGGAATTGTGCTCATTACTTAGCACGGCAGGGGCTGCCTGCCCACCAGCCTAGAGAGGGGCCAAGTGGTGGGGTCACTGTGCAGTCTTCCCTCTGCCCAGAATGTGAAGCCCTTAGAAATGTGCCTTCAGGAGGGAGAGCATGCCCCTTCCTCCAACGCAGCCCGCCTCCCGAATGCCACAGGCACAGAACATCTTTCAGAACGTTCTTTGGGTCTGGTAATTTGGTTCTTGGTCTTTTCCCCATTTCACGGATGGGGAAAACCAAGGCCAGAGTGTTGACTTTCCTCAAATCTCGCCTTCATTTGACTACAGATTGCGGACTTGCATGTGGGGCTGCTCCTCTCTAACAGCCAGGCTGGTTCAGGTCACCCTGGACTCCTGCTCGTGACCCCATCCACCTCCGCCTTGAGGCTACTGTAAAGCTGAGGGAGACAAGGCTGTCTCCACAGAGGGGGACCCCTTCTGGGGGTGTGCAGGCTCCCCTCAGGTCAGGTGGCAAGCACTTCTGTCTCTTTTATCTCAGCCCCTTCCCTGGTAGATATGGGGATGAGCCCCCTTTACAGCCTCAAGGATTTTTAAGACCTAAAGTTTGATGGTGGAAAAATCAAATCTGGAACCATAAAACCCCAGACCTTTAGAAGGAGGTGTCAGCAAGTGACTGGCCAGCAGAGGCCACTTCAAAAGCCTGGGTCAGACCTGAGGATCTCCTCTCACCTCACCCCTTAGCCTTTCCTGGAGTTTTTAAAGAGTCTTGCCTTGGCCTCTGACTGGGATGGTTGAGAAGGGATCGCAGTATCATGATAACACTTCTTTTTAAGCTGTAATCAAAACCAGAGTTTTCCCAGTGTCTCTGCTGTGTGTGCAGGTGTGTGCATGTGTGTGGGTGTGCATGTGTGTGGGTGTAGGTGTCAGATGGTGGCCCATCAGAGTCTCCAGAGGGAGACTAGAGCAAACACCATCTCAAACAAATGGAAAATCAAGAGTGTCTTAATGTGCTTTCTCATTAAAGTGAAAGTATCACTATAGGGGAGAAATTTCGGAGGTAATTTCTCTCCTTCCTCCACTCCCACCCCACCCCCAACTGGGAATTCCAGAGGACAAAACAATTCCCCTTTCCAACCCCTTTATTTAACTGCTGAAGCTTTGGGACAGGCCCTGACATGCATGGGGGTTACATGGGGACTCAGGGATAGATCTGGGATCTGAACTCAGGCCTCACAAACCTCAGGCTGCTTCTGACTCCTTTCTACTGCTGGGCTGCCCACTGGCCAGCGGCGGGGGCGGGGGGGGGGGGGGGCTCTGGTACTGAGCTGCCCAACGGAGGCCCTGAGGGAAAGCAGGCAGCTAAAGATAAGGTTTGTTTGGTAGTTAGGTCAGACTGGGACTTGTAGCAGGATGGGGGGGAAGAGGTGGAGTCAGGAACCAGGACCCCAGACAGGTGGAACAGGGCCCAGCCACAGAGGTCAGAGGTCAGGCCCGAGACTAGCCAACTGCCCAAAGGTTGGCTCCACGCCTGGTCCTGATCTGCCCCAGGTGAGATAAACCACAAGCCAAGATCCCTTAGGCTGCAGAACTACCTGGTTCTACACTTTAAAGGTCTGCCTTCATATGTGTAGATGGAGCAGAATGTATTTTTACTTTTTATTTTGAAGCTTTGGGGAGCCCATCTCCTCCCCACCCATGTTGTTGAGTTTCTGGCTGTCAGGCTTAAGATGAGATCTTCCCCTCTCCCCTTCCCCTCCTCACCACTGTCTTCTAAGGAGGGTGTGGACTGCCTAGGACTTTGAGGATGAGGGTAGAGAAGGACCCCCTCCTTCCAAGAGAGTAAGGTTGGTGATTCCTGGAGTACCGCCCCCCCCAAAGCATGTTCTTTTGACCCTGAACCTTGGGGTTAGGGTGCCAAGGAGACACCTTGGAGCCCACCTGATGCCTGCAGGGAAGGGAGAGAGACAGGGTCGCCAGTTGGGACTGGGACTGCAGAACAGAGAGACCCTGCCCCCTTGGTTGGGTGGCTCCCCTGGGGAGAAGGGAGGGGAGCAGGGCATCCTAGGCCACAGCCTGTGCCTCTCCTGGCCTCCTCTTCCTTCTCCTCCTCACCAGTTTCCTCAACAGCTTCCACAAATGGAGTCATTAAAGCTGTGAAGCCAAAATGAAACCAAACAAGTGCCTTCTGGGCTTTTCTGTTTCTTGTCTTTATTTTTTTAAAGGGAAATTTAAAATACCGTAACTAGAATAATACGAGGAGAAGGTGGAGGGGAATCGGTGCAAGGCCCCCTTTGATTTGCTTCCCGAGTTGGGGCTGGTGCGCCCCTCCCGCCCCCCCATGGGCCCGGCCGCCTGCGGGGATGTGTCCGGACCCCGACATTCACTTTGGGGAGCCGGGCGTCCCGCAGCTGGCCACGGGTCCCGGCTGTTAGCTGGGCGGGCGGGCGCGCGGCATTGGCACTTGGCCCCGCGCCTTCGCTGCCGCTGCGCCCCCACCGGGCCGGTCTCGCGGCGCCCCTTCCTCTCCGAGCGGTGGCTTTTTCTTCTCGCTAATGGCCGGAAAACACTGGCTGAAGTGCGCGCACAAATCGGCCGCGTCCCCGCTCCCTCCCCTCCCCTCCTCTGCAGAGTTCCCCGGGAGCGCCAACACCCCAGCGCCCAGCCTGGGCGCCTCCGTCCTCACCCCCAGAACAGGCTGCCCCCCCCGGCCCCCCCCCCGCGCCTCACAACTTTCCCCGCGCCGCGTTGCCGGGTTCTCCGGGAAGGCAGGCTATGGGTGTGAAAGTGTGTATTAAGGAGTATGCCTGTTGCTGGGCAGGAGGGGTGGGTGGTGAGAATGTGTATTAGGGGGGTGGGCAGTGACTGTAGGTGCGGTGTTGCACTGGCGTGTTAGGCTATGAGATGAAGGTGCAGGACAGTGAATGGGTATGTCGCAAGGGTTGTGCCTTTTGTATAATGGGTATGTGTGAGGTAGGTGGCTACGTGTGTTTGGGTGTGCGGGGGTGTGTGCATGTGCATATGGGCACAGCTGTGGTGTGTTTGTGTATAAATAGGTATGTGTGGCATGGGGACAGTGAGTCACCACCAGGCATGAGACGCTTCATCCATTGTATTCTGTTGGGGCTGTCTCTTCCGGAT